GATGCCATTTACCTACAACATCAGATGACATAGAAATATTCTAAGGGATTCATAAGGATGTGTTGGTGGGGATGTTATCAAAGGATTTCTTGTTACATTGCAGTCTTTTTTATGCGATCTTTGGAAGAAATTTCTTTTGGTTGTTACTATCAGAAAGGATGGTAGCCTCTTTGAGTCATTAATTGGTTTTTATCCCATGGAGACTGATTATATCATTTCATTTTTCCTTCATACACTGGCTGCTAGAAAAACATTTTGGCTTATCATTACCATGTTATATCTCATCCCTTCCTTCAGGTTATCACACTAGACTCTTTTGAACTTTCTAAAAATATACTTCTAATTTACTTTCCTTTTATGTTTTATATTTTTGTGATAACTGTAAAAAAGTTTTTTGTGACAGATGAGGGAATATAAATACACATATTTCCCAAAAAGAATAATAGTTTGTAATATTTCCAAGATTTTGATTGCTGCTGAAATATCCTACTGGTGGCATGGTAAGCCTATAAAATTGGACTGTAGCTCTTGACTTGTCTTGGACTTCTCCTGTCATAACCCAGATTAGGAACAGAAGTTTCCAGGCAAACAGATGTACAAACTACAACAACAGGAACAGGGCGAGCCCTTGAAAGAGCTTTCACTTGAACATTATGTAAGGCAAGATGTAGAGAAAATCATGTTTCAAGAGGCCATTCATATCTTAATGCATACCACCCTCAAAAGATTAATGAGATAGAAAGGCTACAGAGGAGATGGCCTAAACACCCTGAGAATAGTAAAGATGTCTCTGAAGTAGACCATTAATGAGTTCCATGTGGAGCAAGATGCTACAGATAAACTTTCAAGTAGCCTGGGAAACTAGGATTTGTTACAATCCGCTGTGTAGCACACTGAGCTCTATAAACATGACTGTATCTAATCTTTTTAAAAATTTTTGTAGCTCATAATAATTGTACATATTTATGAGGTACAGTGTGATATTTCAATACATGTATACAATGTGCAATGATCAAATCAGGGTAGGTAGCATATCCATCACCTCAAACATTTCTTTGTGTTAGGAACATTCAAAATCCTCTCCTCTAGCTATTTGAAAATATACCATAAACTATTGTTAAATATAGTAAACCTGCTGTGCTATCAAACACTAGATCTTCCTCCCATCTAACTGTAATTTTGTACTCTTTAGCCAACCTTTCCCTATCTCCCCGTCACCTACCCTTCCCAGCTTCTAGTAACCACTACTCTACTCTTAACTTCTATGAGATCAACGTTTTTCAGCTCCCATATATAAGTGAGATCATGTGGTATTTCTCTTTCTCTCCCTGGCTTGCTTAACATAATGTCCTCCAGGCTCACCCATGTTGCTGCTAATGACAGGATTTCCTTCTTTTTTATGGCTGAGTAGTATTACATTGTGTATCTATACCAATTTTCTTTGTTCATTCATCTGCTGGTGAATGCTTAGGTTGATTCCATATCTTGGCTATTGTGAATAATACTGCAATAAACGTGGGAGTGCAGGTATCCCTTCAACATACTGATTTCCTTTATTTTGGATATATACCCCCAATAATGGGATTGCACGATCATATAGTAGTTTTATGCTCTGTTTTTTGAGGAACCTCCATACTGTTTTTTATAATGGCTAAAGTACTAATATGCATTCCCACCAAAACAATTCTTGGAAATCAATACTGTTACTTTTCAGATGTGAAACCTCAGACTTAGAAATTCTCTAAAGCTGTACAATGTGTAAACGGTTGAACAGGGTCTCTAATTAATCATGTCTGACTGTCTTCTTCCGGACCACCTAGCTGTCATTCTAAGTTATCTGCTTACATATGGTAGTTTTAAAGCCCAATGATAAAGTTTAAACCATGGCACTTGCCCCTCTCTTGGCTTCCTCTTCTTGGATCTCAGGGGAAGAGTTTTCCCTTCATCCTATCAAAAATACTCTGAAAATTAACCTACTTCCACTCCTTTCACATTTTCTCAGCTTTTCTAGTCTCTCCTTTCTCTTTTTTACTCTGCCATCAGACACTGGCTTTGCCTGATCCACACATACTTGGGCTTCTTGTCTTGCCCTTGTTTGGCTGGACATGTGCCCTTGCTCACTCCTGGTATCCATGGACTCAATTCTCACAATCCTCTCTCACCAGTACTTATGTTCCCTACCTGAGACCCCATCTCTCAAGTTTACACTCTACTCACTTGGGAATAAAGGTGGAGAAAGGGAGGGTAAACATGAATGGGAAGAAATGATCTGGGCTGAAACATAAGAAATCATGGCATAATGTGCTCATATTACAAACTTAAGGACACCTCTTCATTAGATGTTGATGCTCTTGCTTATATAACCATGTTCCAAACCTGCTAATAATTTGTGTGCTTGTTCATGTCCGGTTTTACCTTAAGTGATAGCTTTATTCCTTCCTAAATGACTATTTCCATTTTGGCATACACGTTGATAACGCAGGAGTTAAATATGCAATCACTGACTGTTTGAGCATCTGTTTTGTGCTGAAAATTGTTGTATGCACATTCCAAAACTATCTCACTTTTGGAAGGTGTAAATATACACACACACAAACATACACACACACACATACATACAATGTGTTTGATTTTGTATGATATTCTATATGTGAAATCTCAGTATATACCAGAAAGTTGCATAAATGAATGAAGTAGTAATTAGTTCATACAAAGTAGCTGTTTTGTTTGATTTATTACTGTATTGTTACACTAGGTAATCTTTTTTGATTACTTTTCTACTAAAATAGCTATAGTCTGGAGATTATTCACTTTTTCCTTATCCAAATTTAAATGCAATATTACTGATCTGATTCAAATGCTTAAATAAAAATGAATTTTGCTTTAGGCATCAGTAGTTTAACAAAGAATAAAACAAAGTAACACTAGGGATAATGATGTGAATGCCAATTAATATATTAGTTTTACAAAAATCAACTTTTATTTTGAGGGTTGATCAATATAAACAAATTACTGTGATGACATCTTATTGACTTAGGGTTAATTATGACCATGGCATTCACCAACTGGAAAGTAATAAAGCACACAATATAGCACAAATATGATAAATTATTCACACTTATGGGACATGGAGAGAAAACACCCAGTGCATTTCATTTCACGTGGTAGAATTAGTTTATGAAAATCTTGTCCCTGGAGGCCTTTTGAAACTTATCTAAACTACATCCAGAGTTGAATAAATATTTATGTTAAATGTGTAATAATCAGTGCAAATTGCCAATCTGAGTAAGCTTGGCTTTACATATAAATAGGTTTAAAAAACCCCCACACACTCAAATTTTTTCCCTAATTCAGACTTTCAACATTTTAAGCATTTGAATTAAGAAATAAACAGTATTGGGAGATTTTGACATTTATTGGCAGGAAAGTTGGAGTATGAAATATATTAAAAGTCTTCTTATACTTTAGTTTAATTAGATTACTTTTCTTAGTTTACTTTGCCTACAACAAATAGCTAACATTTTTGTACTAAGGAAAAGTAGATGTAGAATGATTATAACCACTCTTCAGATGAATAATCTGACACTTTACTTGCTTACAATTACTTTTGTAAGACCGGCCTAAAAGCACAATTCTTACTTGATGGGAAGACTCATCTCGCAAAGACCAGGAGGCACAGAGATCGATGCACAAGCAAGAGGTTTTTATTTCCGGCATGCTGGAGGTCGCCCCGTTTTCAGGACAGGAGCGGCCCCGAATTCACAATGCAAGCAGCTTTTATACAGTTTTTTTGAACGGATATTGTGATAGGATCATCTGTTGGTTATCTGTGGCACTTTTAGATTTACAGGTGGGCTTCAGCTGGCGCCTTTTGGGTTTACAGGTGGGTTTTAGCAGGCTGGCACCCCTTTAGTGCATTTCTCAATTGTTTACCTTCCCCAGGGTCCGGCTTGGTGGCCTTTGAACCAGCTATTTCCTGAAACCGGTGGGGGCTATTAATGTTTAGTGTGCTCGGGCCTGACCTTTGTCACGGCCCCTGATAAGCTGCGTTGCTTATGCATTGTTCAGTGTGCTCGGGCCTGACCCTTGTTCTGGCCCCTGAAAAAAACTGCTTTGCTTATGCACTGCTACAAGACTGCGTAAATTAAGGTTATATTTTTCTACAATTCTACTACTTATATTCTATGCCCCCCTACATTACAATTTATTTCCAACACTTTAATTTACTTTTAGATATTGTTTAAGTAGGTTAGTATCCTTTTACCTGATTCTTGATTAATAACTCCCAAAATTCCATAAGCAATAATTGGGAGCAGATCAAAATTCAGAATCCTAGGTCCATACTCAGTTATTCTGATTCTTTAGGTCTGGGATAAAGCCCTACCATCACAAAGTATTTTAAGGCAGGTTGGCAGAAGACTACACTTTTAGAAATATTGATCTTTGCACAATGGTCTCAGAAAATTTTTCTTTTTATCACACATCTCTATTAGTAAGTATTTTTAGGGTTCCCTTCAATGTATTTATATTTGCTTTTGAAATGTATACATGTAGCACTATCAACTCGTGTATTTAATGTCAATAGAACTTATCTCCTTTTTTAGAGAATTAATAAATATATGTTTGTATTTATTGATTTAAACTTAACATTTCATAAATGTTGTATATTTATGCATATGTATATATTAAGCACTAAAATCCATTTTTAGATGGTGGGCTCAGACAGGCTTTCAGCAATATTTGTTATTTGAGTAGTTTAAATTAAAATTCCAAAAATTTATGAGTTTATTTTACATTTTTAATATTATATAGAAAACCATTTATAATACTGGATATGTTCTCCAAAAATGCCATTTAATTTTATTTTAAAATGCACTTTGAAAAATATTCATCTGTGAAGTTCTCCATTAGAGGAGAATTTTATTCTATTTCCATTTTCATTGATGATTTTCTTCTAGAATGTGACATGCAGGTGTAATATCTCTTTGTTTTTTAATTAGGTCAGGAAGAGCCCAGGGATCTTGTCATTGACCATTCCTGGAATAGCTTCATCAGTGAGAATTCTGCCTTTGGGTTTAGTCCTCTGAGTCACATACAAGGTACAGTATTTCTACCTTATATTCTGTCATTCTATATGTTGCCACATTGCAGAGATGATGAAATATATGCTTACTGTCTTAATAAATATTTAATACAAATTTAAAATATAATTTTAAAATTTTGAAACAATTTTAGTGAATTAATAGAAAAACATGGATAGTATAACCTTTATGTATGCTCATTGCATTTGCATTATTTTTTATTCCATAGCACATAAGTAAGACTTGTCAAATATTTTGTCTTTGAACTTTTGAATGGTTGAATATCATGCCACTTACTATATGAGTGTGCAAGTCAAGGAAGATTTCAGAAAATTACAAATAGTGTGCTAAAACAACTAATACTTATGAAAAATATTTGCATCTTTGCAAAGTTAATGATTTCTTGCAAATTTATTACAGGGCACGTCTTCTTCTTCTATGTATTAGCCACTCCACCTGCATATTGACGAATAAGAAAAAAATCTAAAAAATAACAAAGTTTCTTAAAAATAAAAGGTCCCAAAATTATGAATTTGCTTAAAAATAATATTTTTAAATTACAAAAAATAATTTTGACAGCAAAATGTGAATTATGGTAAGAAAATTAATGAAAAAATACTAATTGAAATCAATAACCATTAATAATATTCTAATAAAAATGGGTAAATGAATTTCTTTTATATTTACTGTAGTTTTTTTATATAGGTATCTTAAATCTCATTAATTCATCTCATTTAATAAAACAGCTCCATGATATAGGTGTTATTATTATTCTCACTGAGTTGAGGAAATTACAGTTCAGAAAAATTAACTTATGCAGAATCAAAACAGTTGTGTAATGTCAGAGCTGAACCTCCCTTCTTGTGTCTGACTTCAGAGTTTCACTTTCTCTTTCTTTGCAATACATTAAAAGGAGTATGAACAACAGTTCACACAAGTGGAAGTGTATACAGATGGCCAAAGAATGGTTGAAAATACATTCAATGTCACTAATAATGAAATAGATGTTGATTTAAATAATAGCTACCTAAGTTTTCTTTTCCTTTTCTTTCTTTGGTTTTGTATTTTTTTTTTTTTTTTTTTTTTTTTTTTTCTCCGGCAACGGATCGCAACCCTCAGTGTCACC